ATCTGTAATGTTCAGTAACTTAATCATGCAAATTGGAAGTTATTAGTTAGGCAGAAAATTGATGTGTTGTTCATGGAATTCCAAAGCTGCTGAAGGGACAAATATGTTACTACCATTAAGGAATAGTAACTGTTGAAAAAATTGAGTTGTCCTAAGCATATACCAATAAGTAGTGAAGCGACATTTGGCACATTGGACAGATTAGTTAGTTACTTGAAATAATGAGTGTACAGGAGCTCCCTCGTTAGAATATTCAAATGGAATTGAATATGCCTTTTTCTTTCATTAACAAGGTTTCAGTTTGCCGCTTGACACATCTTCTTTGAATCTGTTGAATTGTGTGAACATCATTTAAGCTTTAAGTTGTTAGAAATAAAAAGTTCTATTTATTTGTTTAGTTTGCAACAACCAGCTCATGTGCAGGCATGGTTTCTTTTCTTCGACTATGGCACCATTTTGTTTGTGGATGGCAGTGAGACTCGGAACTGCTATCATGCAATTTTGCATACTTGCATTGCATGTACCATCTCACTAAAGTTTAAGCTATCTGCAGTAAAATCCGACATGATTAATTTCTGTGTTGCTTGGCTATCTGACTAAATCTAGCGTTATAGTTGGGCTTAGATATTTGTTGTGTCCACTGTCAATATATAGTTAGTGTGAACACTTTCCATATTTCTTAATGTGTACATGCAGGTTTTGGATGGAACATTCATGGAGGAGCCTGGATCTGGTGCTGTAGGGTATATTGATAATAAAAGGATTTCTGTTGGCACACTAGAGTGGGTCAAAAGGTAGTTTCTTCTTTCTGCTTTTAGTCCACTATCTTTTTCTGTTGGACAATGTTAATATCCCTCTTACATACAGTCATGTTTTGATACTACTACAAATTCTTCAGGCATGGAGTTCTTGAGAATCCGTTCCAAGAATCTGATGACTTTAAGAACCAATCAGTAGTATATGTGGGAGTTGATGGCGTCCTTGCTGGTCTAATTTATGTTGAGGACCAAATCAGAGAAGACGCAAGGCATGTTGTTGAATCTTTGACAAAACAAGGGATTAGCACTTATTTACTGTCTGGTGACAAAAAGAATGCTGCCGAGTACGTTGCATCTGTTGTTGGCATCCCTAAGGAAAATGTAAGCAGTTTCACCTCTTATAAGACCAGAACCTCCAAATTTGTTATGGGCTGTTCTTTGTACCTAAATGTATGTTACAAGCTGTAAAGTGGACCTAATGTTTCCACAGGATATAGCGAGATATAGGAAGTGTTGTCTGCTCTAAAGAGAACAACATAGATCGTAAAAGCAAATTAGCTAAAACTGATAGGAGGAATCTTTTATGAGCTTTATAATAAAAGACCTTGATCTCTGGCATCATTACTCACAGACTGTGTAAGTTGAGTCATTCATGACCTTTCTATTAAGATAAGAAAGAACTGTACAAGTCCGTACCTGTCAGTTCTCAAGTTGGTTCTTAAAAGGGTGTACAGCTTATTACGTGGCCATAGTACACCAATTTTTAGACTACACTGAGATGTGAAAGGGTTAGCTCATTTAGATTGGTTTCACTATAGTTTTGGTACATAATGCAGACTCTTTATGGAGAATTGTTTAATAGAAATCAGGGCTAAGCTATTAGTACATGATAGCTAATAGAAATTAGCGTTTGTTTCCTTTTATTCAACAGTTGATAATGCCTAACTAAATAGAAATGTGTTGAATGACTTGAATCAAATTTTCCTGTTCCCTTCCCTTTTAAAAATGCTCATGCGAGATGGATAATCCAGCTACAGTAGAGAGAGCCATATAGTTGTGAAACTAGGTGTTCTGCGAAGGATAAGATATGCAACTATCACTATGCATAGAAGATCTCCTGTTTTCAGTATGTTCAAACAGATGAAAATGTCAACAAGGTAGATGGTTGAATGCAGGTATATTATGGAGTCAAACCAGATGAAAAGAATAAATTTGTAAGCAGACTACAAAAGGATCAGAAAGTTGTAGCTATGGTGGGTGATGGAATAAATGACGCTGCAGCCTTGGCGTCAGCACATGTAGGAATAGCTATTGGTGGTGGAGTTGGAGCTGCAAGTGATGTGTCTTCTATTGTACTGATGCACGATCGGTTATCTCAGGTTTTCCTTCTCTCCTATTTGCAACTTTCGCAGCTTTCATGTTCTTTCTTTTCTAGAACTAGAGTAACCTGGCTTCAATTTCTGCATGTATGGTAAGATTGGCAAACATGGTCTCTTGTTCTGGTCTTAAGGTTTTAGCTTTCAGAACACATGCTGATAATATTGTAACTCTAAGATTTGCAGACACTTGAATCAGATCAACAGATAGAAATAGTTATTAGATTGTATATGTTTACTAAAGTTTGTTTGGAACAGATAAGCACTTTCTCTAAAAGAGCCTTTTGAGTCCTGATTCCCTGACATAGCATTTGGGAGTGAAAACTCCCATGCTTATATGTTAAATTTCTGTGCCTCTTGAATAAGTTGGTCTGGGAACTCTCTTACTCTCAAGATTGGGTGGCAGTGGTCTTAGTAGAATCAAATGTGGAGACTTTACATGAAAGTGGATTCTAGGTGAATGAACTGATTACCAGGATCTAAAACATTTAGTACTTAAGTATGTTTATTACCTAGTTGGCTAGGGATAATTTCAGGAGAAGTAGAGGTAAACATAGGAAGAAAAAGTATTGGGGACAGCTTATCGAAGACATGACCTTGGACAAGAGGTTGTGGATGACACGGTATACGGTAGAAGGTTTGTAAACAGTGGAGCGTTGTCTTGCCTACCCTTCCATACCAGTAGTTGTAGTATTTCCCCTGTAGTTTCTTGTCCTTTGAATTATGTTACCTTCTACAGTCTCTTTGTACTTTAATTATCGCACTATTTTGTCGCAATTACTATTTCTTTTTTTTTCCTTTGTTTTTTTCAGGATGCTTTCTATAGTATTTCACCAGGATTTCTTCACCTTCCATTATTTTATTTTATTTCGATTTGCATTGATACGTTTTTCCTTGAGCCGAGAGTCTATCGGAAACAACCTCTCTTCCTCCCAAGGTAGGGGTAAGGTGCTACAAACCCCACCGATAGTCTTAAAAAGAAATTGTCTACTGACAGAAAATATTGGGCAGTGGCTTCTTTAGAGTTTCTCTTTTAGTTCTTGCTCTGTCATCATGTTGTTAGGGTATACTAAGGCTTGAAATCAGGTGAGGACTTTTGGATCAATGGATGCTAGTATTTCTTCATGATGTCTTATCTTGCATGTTGTAATATACTTTGTAACAAAATCACCTTTCTGCAGTTGCTCGATGCTCTGGAGCTAAGCAGGCTAACAATGAAAACTGTAAAACAAAATCTTTGGTGGGCCTTCGGATACAACATCGTAAGTTTTTTGGTATCAGCTCTCCATGAGAACAGGACAAGTTTCTTTGTGCATTGCCATCTTAAACAAGTAAACTGGTTAAGTTAAAGAGATGGTACTAACTTGCTACAAGCAAATCACTGATTAAAGATTTAAATGACCATGCTTGAGGCTTTTTTCAAATTTGTGGGAGGGTTAGACTCTTGCTTCCCTTTTCTGCCATAACAAGTCATTCCTTTTGGACGCCTACCAATCTCTGTTAGTTTGCCTGGAATCACTGATGGGAATGCTATTCATTCTCTCTTTTTCCTAGTCTGCACAACCCCCCTCGCAAAAGAAAAAAAATCAAGCGGTGCATTTTCCTTTTGTTTTCTTTCAAGACCTGAGTAGTCTGTCACATATCGAATGATCTAAACCTACATATTATATGTAACGCATGTGATACAATAATAATCTTGCTGCTGATTAGTTGTGCTCATACAGAAGCTACATGTGTGAAATTGCATAGTATTTAATTTGGAGAATGTGTGGACCCATGCAAAGTTCCCCATGATCTTTGCAAGTAAAGAGAAGAGAGGGAAACAAGATTACTGGTCTGTTTCTCATGAACACACAGATGCGTGTGGGCACATACTAGAAAAACCATAACAAACATACAAATTTTATGTTGATTCTCTCAAAATTCTTTTCTCTGGGAGACCACCGCCAATCACTAGTGTCTTTTCCGATGCTGTGAGCTATTAATTCAATTTCTTCTTCATATGTCCTTCCTCTTAATCTTTGCTCTAACAGGTTGGAATTCCGGTAGCTGCTGGAGTCTTGCTGCCATCTACTGGAACCATGCTTACTCCGTCAATAGCAGGAGCTCTCATGGGCTTAAGCTCTATTGGCGTGATGACAAATTCATTGTTACTGAGACTCAAGTTTAAATCAAGGCAGAAGGAAATACATGGACAATCAGTAATAGTTGATATCCCTTCAGATTCTCATAGCTTGAATCAAGAAAAGTTGAAACATCCAGATAGTGAATCCTCACAAGCCTAGTCAGTGATTGATTCCAACACTTAGTTGGTTCTCCGCTTGGGATACCAATCAGTTGTAGGGAGTGTAATCTTGTTATTGCCGCAGTTTGGACGAACAGGGATGGGGGACTCTGCTTCAGCTCAAGCTTATCAGCCATCAAATTCTAATGGATCCCGCTACCTGCAGTTTTACATGGTTGGGTGATGCGGATTTATGGTCATCACAGACTACGTACAGAAACTGTACACTGAATCAATCTGTTTAGGGAATCACAAACAATTTGGTTAAGCATTAAATGTGTAATGGTTGGATCGTGCCAAGAGAAGGCCACTTATTCTTTTACCGAATCTGAGATCTACAACAGGTCAAAGAAGGTACAAGATAGCAATAACGATTCACAAAATAGAAGATAACAAACAACATTTATCAATCAGTATAAAACCAAGGAATTTTTGAGCGTTTGGACATGAATCAATCAACTGTGACCAATCATAAATTAGTTGGAGTCCGGTAAAGTTGAGTCTATCCTACTCCGATGCATCTCATTCCTGTGTTTTGCAAAAGTAAATTTGGTCTAGCCTCTCACTTAACTAACATACAAGTTTACATGGATTTCCATATCTTGAAAATCATTACAGCCCCACGCGCAACCCAACAAAGCAAGTTGGTGAATCCATTATACAACTACATCAGAAGCCAAATCTTCCAAGCTCTAAGACAGGGACATCCAAAATTCCACCCTGTGATATGCAAAACAGGCGTATGACAATTTCTGTGCATCCATCAAATGGTCAGGCAATGATTATGATGTACATCATGACGCCAAGTTGACAGAGGACCAAAAATTTTGCCAAAATACCTTTAAGTGGACCTATACAATAAAAAACTCACACCATATATTGCATGCCGACCTGCACTAAATTCGAATGTGGTACACTCAAATTGGCAGTTCCCCTCCTGCTATTCTTTCTCAAGAAAGCATAAAAATAATTTATGATAAGCTTCTTAATGAACCATGAATTCTTCCTTGCCCTAATATCTCCGTGACCAAGAAGATAGACCACACCAGATTCTTTGGCCTTGCGTATGAATGAGAGCTCCTTTTCAAGGGATTGCTCTGCCTCGGACACTAACGACTCAGAAGACGTTCCAGGTTTCAACTCTTCTGAAGTGCTTTCTTCCATAACTGCCTTTCCTGTGTCCCTAAAATCAGCTAAGAGAGGAATGCCAAGCGAATAAACACTTCCATTCGGAGCTACAAGGACCCTTGAGAAGGAGTACTCTTCTTCAGAGTCTGAACAATCGCCATCACTTTCAAGTGATCGCTCCTGAGCTTCTCTGCGTATGAACTTCTCAAGACTTTCAATGAGCAGTTGCTCAAAAGTGTGGTGATTTTCTTTACGAGCATCCTTGTACCCATATCTGTAGATCCAAAGTTTTGGACAGAGAAGTTAGTAGCCAAGTAACCTTAGATGCACATCAATTGCAGATGAGAAAGCAAATATTACGACAGAAAACTGTTATAAGCATCCAAAGCATAGGAGGTACAAAGATAAGGTGGTTCTTCAGCCATAGTTTGTTTGAAGAGAAGAATTAACCATCACGCACATAGTTACTACCCTAAAGATTAGGAAAGTTTCAGCTTCTCAAAGGTAACCATCTGCCATACATACTCCTTTAACCATCTGTCATGCAGCAGTTTTAATAAAGTTGGACTCAATATTTGTGCAAGAGTTTATACTTATTCTAGCTATCTTTAGTCACGTCAGTTGGTCTATGTAGTGAAGGTACTAGCAAAACAGGGAAATTTAGTTTACCTGGCAATACAACGGAATATGTGGTAGCTTCTGGGGCAGACTCGCCGGAACAGGAACCTTTCATTTTGTGGTACAACTGGAACAGGAACATACTTTATACAAACAAAAATGATCATGGAATGCACAGCAGGTAGAGTGGTGAGAAAATGTCCAAATATGGCAGGTATTCCCTTTGCTAGTTCATTGTAAAGCAAGCCAATTCCAGGAGCTCTTACAGTTCCAAGGTTGGGGCCTAATTCGCGCAACAAATCCATAGACATCTTTTGCTTGACTTCAGTTTCATACTTCAGCTTGCTTCCATAATTCCAGATGTACATAATCAGGAACAAGACAACAGCAAAAACAAGTATAATCCAACTTCCATCTCCCACACTCCATAAAACAGACGAGAAGAATGTTAACTCCAATCCCAAGAAGATAATGATAAAACTTAGCACAATTAAGATGTTGATCTGCCATATCAGAAGCATAACAATCGTAACCAATATTGTTGTCATCATCATCACTCCAAGCTCTGCTATGGCTGTCAAACAGGATATGCATCAGAAATCAACAAGGCGATCTATAAATCATTTGATGAACACTTGGAAGCACCTTAAGTTTTTCATCATCAAAGACGCAACTCAGAATTGAAATACAAAATTTACGAGAAAGTTTTCTCCTACATACCATAGTTAACAAGAAAAACTCTTCAAACAGAAGTAGGTAAAGTTTCTTTGTGAACAAATGAATGTACTACATACTTCAAACAGACTCTGCCGCAAAAGAATATGTGGTGATGTGGGAGAATTAGGGTTACAGTGACAACAAACCAGCATTTTTGTCAACCAGTTTACAAGTGTTCCCTGTCATCTTCAAATTTTGGAATTGATAAGAAAGTTGAAAGATAAAATTAAAATATTGAAAAATAGTAAAACACTGCAGGTTTTCACGAATGAGTTTGAAAACACACTGCATTCCGAGGGTTTTAATTCCGAAACACCAGACAAATCAATGTAACAAGTTAACAAGATGGAAAAAAGAAGAAAAAAATAGTGAGAATTTTATATAGGAGTAAGGCTTCATACACACTACCCTCCCCAGACCCACCACATGTGGGATTACACTGGGTATGTTGTTGTTGTTGTTGTGAGCATTTTATATAACAAAGATTGCGCAGTGCTTACATCCGAGACGAATTAGCAAGATGGTATATGGACAAGGTATTTCAGTTTTGTATCTACCTACTTTCAAACATTTATCAGAAAGCTCCAAGTGCAAATCAAGACTAACATTATGTAATAAGGAAACAGAGAGAACAATCAGCAAAGAAATTGTAAGTTCTAAAGAGAATAGGATTACCATAAGCATTTCCGATCTCGTATATACTTGAGATAGAGCAGACCAACACCAAAGACAATGCCAGAAGAAACCAGTTCATGACTGGGATATAAATCTGACCCATGAACTTCCGGGACGTATGAACAATCTTGAGGCGAGGGAAGCAGCCTAGAGCTGTGGATTGTTTAATGCAAGAAAAGGTCGCTGTGGTCATTGCCCTACTGGCAATCAAAGCAGCTATATTGGCAATCAAGAAGACAGGCCAGAAAGCTCCACCTGCATATAATTGCAGAATTTCACCCAACGAATACATTGTCAGTGTGCTATGTTGCTCAGACTCTTCGAAAACGTCATTGGGTGTGTGTTAGACCCTCAAAAGTAGTGCATTTTTGGAGGATCCGACACGGGTGCAGCAACATTTTTGGAGTCCGAGCAACTTAGTCTGTGTGTCCTTATATTCAGAGACCTATCTGTAATAATGAAAACTACACATGATCATGACACTTCTGTCTCCACAAAATTGTCACGTCTTCCATTGTTTTTCTCATAATTTTTCCACGGTTATCGATAAATAAACAAGATGTTTTCAGAGTGAGTGCTACAGGACTAGAGATTTACTTGGCACAGAAGAGAAGAAAGCTTGTGTTGTGTCGGCATGGTTCTCCATCAGGTAAGCAGCTTGACCAAGGTATCCCAATAGAAGGCACGGAAGCACAAGGAACATAAATGTAAGCTGCAAATTAGACAACATTCTATTATCAATAACTATATATGCCAAATTGAACAGCTTCAGTGACATAAAAGAGAGACGCAGGGTTATGTCCCAAAAATGCACGGATCTATAGTGTAATATTAACATATTATACACCCTTTCTACCAAAAATAAATAAATTCTGCTGCATACCTGAACTGATCTTACAGAAAAATAGCAAAGGTCTGCAAACATTGCCTCGGAACCTGTATTTCAGAATTGGTGATCAGCTGTATATCTAAAGAAAATGGATAAAACAAGAACAGGCTTGATGGCAAAATCACAAACACAACCTATCCTAAAAACTCAAAAAGAAGATACTAGGACACAAAAATTAATGGGCGAGGCAGTAAACGAACGTGAAGAGGCATTTTATTCATGTTTTTCTCACAAAGCAACACACTAATAAGAAGACCAGCTTAATTTTTACGACAGATTCTGTTGCATATAAAAGCTTGAGCGGGAGTTTTACCCTTTAAAATAGTTGAGAGGACAAACAGAAGTGCATATGGCTCTGGATGAGTCACTTACTTAAAAGGCTTCACGATCTACCAACTCAGTGGTTCTATTTTATAAAATCTGCATTATGCATGCAGGTTCGGACAAGAATGGAGAGAAATGACTTAGAGATGTTAACTTTCATACCCTACGACAGAAATGAGAATACAGCAATGGACACAAGCTTATTGAGATGATCCGAAAGATATTCAAGATGAAATTTGACCAAACACCACATTAGGAAGTGAAATGATAATGATAAATGTTCCACATATAGCATGACTTGCACAGGCAAAATCATTTGTTGGACTTCTAGTTCAAGCGAAATCTGCAAAAATGTACTCATCAGTTAAGTTGCTCGGACTCTCCAAAAAGGTTGCCGCACCCGTGTCGGATCCTTCAAAAATACACTTATTTTGGAGGATTTGGCACATACCCATCAATATTTTTGAAGAGTCCAAGCAACATTGCTCATAAGTGTCCAAGGGAACTACTTAAAAGGCATCCATATCCAAGGGACGCTTTTTTTCCCAAAACTAGCAACAAGTTCATGCTAAAACGCTATTATGAAGGGAAATCTCTGAGCTGGCAGACTTTTGGTGATTCAACATCAAGCAATATATGTGAGTTCCAAAACCTTTCTTCTTCAATAAAAGCCAATTTATTAAGTCGCTTTACCCTGCAAACACATGTCCCTTAGCCCCTCCTACACACACACACTCAATCTCATTTTTTGGGGGGTTACAGTGGCACTGTTTTTAAATTGAACTCCCTGAGAGGATAAGAGAGAAAATAAGTAATGGATGGATTAAAAATGATGTTTCTCAGCAATAAGTTTGCAGGTAAATATATATGAAGTGGCATGCAAACCATCTCATGCTGGGCCAATATGCAAGAAAATAACCAACATATGGAGAGCAAGCTCAACGGAGCTTGCATCAATCTTCTTGAATCAACTCAACTAAACCCCAAGGGAAGAAAAATACATAGAACAAGCCCTTTAGTTTTCTGCCAATCAAATTACATCAGCTATCAAAAAGAATCAGTTCACAGGTGTCTACCTGTTGCACACAAAAGACAGCCACCAAGAGAGTACCAGGCCTTTGTTGAGTTGCGCTTGAAATAATAGTATATGTGAACAGGATTAAATGCCCTCCAAACATGAGAATCATACTTAATGAGGTTGTAGACACCAATACCACCCAGGGAACAAAACCATATAAACAAAGCTGGACCAACTACAAGACCCACTTTACTTGTCCCATACTTCTGTACGCTGAAGAGAACTACAAGACATGCCACCGAGATCATCACTACTTGATCTGCAAAAGAAACAAAACCTAAGAAACTTGTAGCAAAAAGGGCTTAAAGGTGCACAATTATAAAAGAGTGGATGGAATTCATTTTCTCGTCTGATTCTAGAAAGTTAAATAACATTGCAGATTTAGTTTTAGCAGTTTTATAACATTATTGTCAGGTAGAGCCTTGGAGCATCAGTAAAGTAGGTTGTCTCCAGGTTTGAGCTACAGAATCAGCCATTGATAATCGATCCAGATCAAGTTAAGTCGTTTACATCACACCCTCATAGCATGCGGCCCATCCCCGGACACTGCGTAAACACAGGTGGATGCCTGGTGCACAGAGATGCCCTTTTTTAAATGTTTGCTGGCCCAGGTTCTCAGATCTTCAATTTTACCAGCTAGTCTAATAAATTAACAAGAATCCTCTTCCCACAACTAAATTCATTGAGCTATGTGACAATAATTTTGCAATTATAGTTATAAACTTCATCACACAAAAACATTAAAAATGGCCACCCAATAATAAAAGGCTAGTAAAAACACTACATCATCATATAATAAGGCGAACATTAATGTCATGATGGCGATATCGCATATCACACACTTAAGTCTTTCTAAAGCAATCTTACTTGTGACACAAAGCAACATGCAACATAATCATAAAATCCTTCAATGACTGAGCTAGGTGATGGAAATGAGGTTTACATCTCGTTGCACGTAGACTATCAGAGTATAGATCAAATTTGAAACATTTCTTGATTAGCTTGTGTCATCTTTGCAAAGATATCTTACCTTCTACATATAGTTCAATTTTCATAGACGTCTCTAAAGGGGTGGTATAATGGAAGTTATGAGCACATCATTTTTGTAGGACTGTTTCAGCTTGTGAAACTTTTAGATCAATAAAAATGGAAACGCCTTCTGTTTCATGAAGTGAACAATATTGTACAGATAATATTACCTTGCTTAACCCCAGGAAGTCCAACTTTTAAGCCACCAACAGCAGACATTACTGCATCCACAATAGTTTAAAACTAACATTAAGTACAAAAAAGAAATAAGGAAGATAAATTACACAGAAGAAAAAGATCCCAGAGGACCAACAAATTTTGTACAGATGTCCTAGGATACCTGACATAGCAGGTGTAACAACACCATCAGCAATCACCATTGAAGTGCCAACAAGAACTAACATCAGAAGAAGCTTTTTCAATGTCAATGAAGCTTCTAGTTTTTCTTTTATTTTTAAGGACCTCTCAAGTTCTGGAGATGGCACCTTCAGTCTAAAGCTTGATATGCGAGCATCTGATCGTAGTTGATTGGGGAGAAGATTAACCTTTGCATGCCTACAAAGCAATGAGTACAAAGCAAAGGTACCACCTGCAGTATTAACCAACTAATTGAATAAATCAGAAGACACAAAACATGAAGTGCAATGTGGTAAGTGTCGTGAAACAACTAAACAAGTTTAACTGTTAGCTTACCTTCACCGTCATCATTGGCCCAAACAACAATTAGGACATATTTAACCAAGGGAACGAGGATTAACGTATATAAAACCAGAGATAATGCACCAAGAACGTCTTCATTGCCATTGACTGGGGCCTTACTAAACATCACACTGAATGTATACAAGGGACTCGTTCCCACATCGCCAAAAACAACTCCAAGAGTCTGAAAGGCCAATAGGATTGCTCTACCCACTGAGACATCCTGCAAAATACACTCAAAATTTAGTTAATTCTGCATCTGTTGTTCAAAATCAAAACCTACTGAGTTTAGCCAAAACACAAGACAAAATAAAAACCATCATTCTCGGGAAAGGACCTTTGTTGAATGAAGTTGACAGAAAAAGCAGTGTTGTCAAAGGCTCATCTGAGGCATGCTTAAATCCCTAAACAACAACAACAACAACAACAACAACAACATACCCAGTGAAATCCCACTAAGTGGGGTCTGGGGGAGGGTAGAGTGTACGCAGACCTTGCCACTACCTCGTGGAGGTGTGGAGGTAGAGAGGCTGTTTCCGAAAGACCCTCAGCTCAAGTACATCAAATCCAAGTAAAAGGAGAGGAAAACAGTGTATAAAACATAACATCCAATAAGAAAGATAGTATATAATCAAACAAAGGAGACAATAACATCAATAAAATAATGTGAGAAGTGAAACGCAATAAACAACATAAGGCTATAGGTATCACAGACAAGAACTGCAAGTGCAAGGCTAGGACTACTACAAACGCGCTTAATAGGTAGGCGAGTGCTTTGCTTCCCTTAGTCAATGCTTTAGTTCAGGCACTGAGCCGCTAAGGCTTAAGTCTCATCAGTGATTGCCCAAAGGTTATGTATTGAAGAAGACAGCACTACACAATAGCTATTTCAATATTTCTTTGATGCAAATAATTGTTGTTTATGTTTATTCTTATTTTATTGTATTACATGTATTTTTTATTGTCCTCTTCAATTGCGCCTTTTTTTAATTAATGCCCACACTTTATTTGCTCTTTACGCTTAAAATTCCAGCAGAATTTAAAGCTCTTTACGGTTTTCACGGCTAATAATGCCGAGAAGAAGGAACCATTAAGCAAAGCCAAAAGCAAATAAAAGGTGAAGGTTCTCAAATTAAGTATATCCCTGATCAGTGGTTGACGTGGTCAAGAAACATAGGTGGTGTTTGCTTCAAAATTTTGAAGAAGAGTTTTTTTCCCCAAAAAAAAGATATTATTTGTAAAAAATATTTTTCAACCACAATACCAGGAAAGAAAGAACTTTCAGTTTTTAGGTGGCATTGCTTCAAATTTTTGAAGATGAATGTTTGCACAAAAAAAAAGAACAAGAAATTGGAAAAGAGTTAGTTTCAAACAAATGTTGAAAAAGAATAATGAGTTTTTTCCGGAAAAAATTGATATCTGTTATTTGTGCCTGACTTGGTATTGGCTCGAAAAGCAGCTCTTGCAAAAAATTATAAAAGAAAATTTCCCGAAGTTGCACCCAACATTTTGAAGCAAATGCCAACTTTAGAAGCTTATAATAACTATATCATTTTATAAATTTGTTTAATAACGGTGGTGTCTGGTCCAACTTTATGCACACCGAGATTGTTTCTCTGGATACTTGGTACCTTCGCCAGAACAAGTATAAGGTAACTCTATCCACCAAGGCATGGGCAGACAACATAAATTGGGATTTGAACTTGGTCTCCAAGATTTCACTCACTTCATTGACCGTTAGACCAAACCCTTCAGTGCATCATTCTAAAATATTTGTTATTAGAGCCAAACTAGGCCCATTGTGATTAACTGGTGTTAGCTTCTTATCTTGTATACAGTACTAGCTCGTAGATTCTTGACCCCATTTGTGCCTTGATTTGAGCCTAGTTTGCTGACAGCAACATTTTTCTTTTTATAAGATTTGCGGGCAGCAATATTGTCAGACCATTCACTGCAAGATGATGGCTTTCAGCCATTTCTTCTGCCTGAAATATTTAGTCCTCTGCACTCAGCTTCAAGTTTGCGGGATAGTCATTTCACGCCTTATTTTTCTACAGTAAAGCCATCAAATGACTTTTAGCCTAGTCTCACTCTAGATTGGAAATGTTGTCTCTAACAAGAAGGTACTGAAGTTCTTCTAATTGCTACAAAGTTATTTCAAGTCACTCATGCTAACTGGCAAAGAAGCTATATCAAGCAATGGCGGGAAGTGAACTTGAACAAAGGGCATTAGCTTAGTCAAAAAAAGTGGAACTTCCTGACAAACTAAAACAACACTAAGTGAAAGATTCCCGTGATTAACCGTCACAAAGCAGACAAGATTTTCATTTGATAACGTGAAATGTTTTGGCATTGGAGAGCTGTAAAGTGCATGACTAGAAGAGTGCAAAAATTTAGTGGAAGGGAGTGCAAAGTTTCAGTAGCTGAAGGAAATGTCAGCTTTGCAGATTTAACTGAGAACATTGTCATCAATAAATTGGAGGAAGAAGATAATTGCGTCTCTGATTACTAAGAAAAGAGCTAAGCATGCACCTAGATCCTTTCTGTATATTCAAGTCCTTCTAATCGTCTGTTTATCTACCTCTAGTACATCAGAAGAGCATCAACAGACTCCACATTTCAGTTCATTCTTTGATCTCACAGCAAATAAATTGAATAACAAGTTGATCGTGGAAGGAAAGAACAGCAGTACAAAGTAGCACCAGCTGCTGGCTATACTAACAACACAAGTAAAACCAACTTCAACTTTCCATTTTTTCACCATTATCAATTCGGAATGACATTGGCGGAAATAGAGTGAATGGATATACATAAATTTATAGCAGATCTCAAATAGTTTACTATTTAAGACATAATTATTGTTGTAATTGTTTGGAAATTAGTAGGACTACTACTAGCAATGCCAATTAAAGAAATTACCGAAAGTTCACTCACCTCAAAGTCGTTCTTTTGAACACCGGGAACTTCAAGAGCTTCGACATCAAACGAATCAATACGAGGACCAGTACGGATCAGTTTCTGCTCCACATTATCCTCATCATCAGACTCCAATTCCATGCCATTGCATGTTGTCGAATCATCATCTCCATCCACAGTATCTCGATCACCACTATCGATATCCAAATCATCCTCGCCCTGAAATACCCACCGTGACTCAATCGATTCCATAGACGTTAATCCGCCATTTTCCCTCTCTAAACCCTCGTCCGTCATCTCAAAACCACTGTCAGGCTTCGATTTCTTCAATCAACGCAAGTGAAAAGTTCCTCCGACGAGTATGTATATTCGTATATGTACGCATTTATTATGTAACATAAAGGCAATAGCGTAGAATTGCAGCAGTAGCTTGTAGAGTACGATGATTCGAAACCCTAGGAATTGAGAAGGGTTTGGGTGAGATTTTGAAATCCAAATATTTCTGCAGCTGTGAGTGAGTCTTTGGTATTTTGCTTTGAATGGATCGAGCCGTAATGGAATACGTGGGTGGCAAGTGGCAATATTTTACAACAGCCAACGTGACTACCGCGGATTTACTTTTAAACGGGCAAAAAAATAATCAAATTTGGGGAGATTTTGATGAGAGATACATTTTTCCGGATAAAAGGAATTTTTTGCGTTTTTTTTCTATTTATAAGTGTGACCAGTCATAGAAAATTGTTTCCACGTTAAATTTATAGTACTAACATTTGATAGTGTAATGAAATGATATGATAGGAAAGTTTCCTAAATACTCCCTCTCCTTCAATTAATTATTCACTTTTAAATTGACACACTAATTAATTCTTTTTAGAATAACGGTTTGAAAAATACCCCAACTTTGGTCGAATTTGTTGTTGCGATACTAAACTTTCATAAGGACCTATTACCTCCTTAGACTATTTAATATCGTATTTTTTACCCCATGAACTATTTAATAGTGTATTTTAAAGGTATATATGTGCCCACGTGAACACATTATTATTTATAACTTTGCATTATTTTTTATATATGTTTAAAATACGGTATTAAATAGTCTAGGTAGGTAATAGGTCCTCATGAAAGTTTAGTATCGCAACAGCAAATCCGACCAAAGTTGGGGTATTTTTCAGACCCTTATCCCATTTTTTTAATATTTTAGCACTATTAATTATGAAGTATATCAATTAAAAATTGGGAAAAGGGTCAAAAATACCCTTCAACTTTGTTTTATTGGTTGACTTGCCCTTATCATTAAAATGAAGTTATTTTTACCCATGTCGTTACTAATTTCACCATTTTTACCATTCAATTGGATGAAAAATCCAAATTAACTAAAATTATCCAATTTCAAGTAAATGACCCGATTTTCTCTTTTAATCTGAACCCGACCCATTTATATCAAATTAGAACCCTAAACCCATCTCTCTAATCTTCTTCATATTCTGTAGTTAAACTCATGCATATTTGTCTTTCCTACTAAAATTGCACCACTATTTTGCAATCATGACACAGGAACCCCACCTGCACTTTCATAACTCAATGTTTAATATTTTCAATTCAACATATCTAATATTTTTTCTTTAAAAAATAAAATCATTTTTTTATATAAATACATCATAATCATCAAAATAACATTTCAATATCAAAATGAAGAGAGGTAACATTTCAACCGAATTTAAATATAAGAAACATATAGTTTATGAATTACAATTCAACCAACTCAAAAATATAATATCATTCAAAATCAATAACAATACATTATAACCAAGAAAATATATATTTGAGTCTCTCAAGTTATAATATAAATGGAAAAATGTCAAAATTGCCCCCGAACTATATGAAATAGACCATTTGTATCATTCGTTACATTTTGGGATAAAAAATGCCCCTGCTGTTATCCTAAGAGACCACAAATATCCTCAAGAGTTAACACCTCAAATTTTTGTTCAAGCCATGTGGGACTAATCCTTCCACCTAAGCGTTGCCAATTATGATTCACTACAAAAGAACTAGACCTTTAGCGGCAACAACAGTTGTCACAAAAGCCCAGAAAATCGTCACTAAATTTTTTTAACATTAAATTATAATTTTGTGTTTTTTTCTTCATTGTTTTTAAAAAATCAAATATGATATCGATTAAGTAGGAGTTTGAAGACACTATATGTTTTATTTTTATGTCATATGTAAATGTATAAAATGTACAATGATGCATTATATATATATAGTAGGAGATTTGAATCGAGAAGTAATTTTGATTATTTTTCGTAATAATATTGGATGTTTTTAATATGGATATTGCAAGTTATTTATTTTAGAAAATTAGGTCGCAATCGAAAATTAACTATCATATTTTTTTTGTTGAAAAAATAGGTTTTACTAGCGAATGGTTGTTGGAGCATTAGTCGCCACTAAAAATCACTCATAACTTTTAGTGGCAGTATTTTGGGATTTTGTGGCAACTTTGTTGCCACTAAAAGTCAAGTTTTTTTGTAGTGAATCTTAGTTGACAATGTTTAGGTGGAGGGATTAATCCCATGTGGCTTGCCACGTCACTAAAAAATTGGGGTGTTAATTCTTGAGGGTATTTGTAGTCTCCTGGGATAGTTCAGGGGCAATTTTGACCCTTTTCCGTAATATAAATTACTAAGAATATTTTTATTTATTCTTTAATTTAATTATTTATATTTATTTTATTTTATTTTATATTTATATTTAACTCCATTTCAAATTAATTGAATTGTTGAGGTATTTCACACCCTTTAAGAAAAGAAGATTAAGACATAAATTATGTATAACTTTCTATTTTTCCCTTATTAATTATTGTAAAATTTATGATTAAAATAGCTAAATATTAATTATAATAACTAATTTCAATACTAGCTAATGAAAGATAAAATTGAAAGAATATTCTAAAAATTAAATAATTAAATTAATTTTAAAAATAAAAAATATATAACAATTCAGTTAATTTGAAAAAATGAAAAATCAACAACAACTCAGTTAATTTGAAAGGAAGGGAATATAGATTTGCGGAGGAAACAAGAACCTAGAGGGGAAGGTTTTTTAAATCATATGCCAACAAGCTGGTCCATTTTGTCACATGCGGAAACTAGAATGGCAGTTTGGTAAAATCGAGAATTGTTTTGGCAAATATATATGTCTCTCGCTACCCATTTTTTTCTTTCAAGAAGGTTCTTGAACGCTCTAAAACCATCTCCCAATTACATTACAAACAGGGTGACGAAACCCTAAACAGATCGAGCGAGGAAGAGAACGCCGGAGAAAATGTCGCACTTCGGGAGAACTGGCCCGCCGGACATCGCTGATACTTATTCTCTCCTCGTCCTCAACATCACTTTCCGTAAGCTTTTCCTCTTTTTCCCCTTGAGTGATTTCCCTCTATTTCTGATTGTTCTTATCTTGTTTGTTTATCGTCTTCTTGTTTCTTTGCTGTAACAGGTACCTCGGCGGATGATCTCTTTCCTCTTTTCGACAAGTATGGGAAGGTTGTGGATATCTTCATTCCCCGGGACAGAAGGTTCTTGAATCTTTCTTTGCCTTTTTGTAGGAAAAGAAATTAAAGAATTGTAAATTCGGTTCAGGATAACTGACTGTAACGTTCTTCCTCGATCAACTAATATCGAACCGGATTTTTTTAGGTTTATTATATTCTCTATGAAACTATCCACTCTGCTCTTTTCAGGACGCTTGCCCAAAATAATTAATTTGTATTCGGACTAAATTAATTGTAGTGTCTCACAAAATTGTTAATAGATTTGTTTGTAAATAGATTTAAAAGGTCTTTCCAAAGATGACCTTAACCATTTGTTAGTGCAGTCTTATCCTATAAAGAACAGGAAAAGATGAACAAGTACAAAGTTGTTTTTTCTTAGCCTTTCTTCAATGGACATAAATAATGGATGAGCTTAATTCTCAAAATGTTGTTTTGTGGTGTACTAATCTGCCAAAGAATCTTTTACCTTACCCAAGACACAATGGGAACTAAAATTATTTGACCATAGAAGAATTACTTAATTATATTTCAAAAGTTCTGTGCAACTCAGGACATGTGCATGTCTGAATGATTTCTAAACTTCCATTGTCACTTATTTATACTTATTTTATTTATTATGTTGGTCTTGTAACAGGACTGGTGAGTCACGTGGGTTTGCATTTGTTCGTTACAAGTATGCAGAGGAAGCACAAAAGGCTGTAGATAGGCTGGATGGTACTTCACTAACCTTTTTTTTTTCTTCTGAAGTTGTGCTCTGCATATACTGGGAATTATATTTTTTGCATGGTGTTCTGAAAATCCTGTACTAAGCTCTAGTAGGAGGCTTTTTTAGTTGAGTTAACTAGTCAGGTCATATAACTGAGCAAATGAAAAGCCTAGTTCATACTGATATTAATGTCTCTAGCTTAGATTAAGAGCCAGCAGACCGTGGTTGCTGGGAGATCGTTGATGATGGGTGGAAAATTTTTGTGAGGGTGAGAAGATAGAAATTTGTCAACTGTTTAATGTGATGTGCAATGTTTAACATGTCAGGTACCTAGGTTTTCACACTTAAATCAGAAGGTGGTGGTGAATCTGAATTGAGAAAATATAATCTCTTAAACTTGAAACTACCTAGGTTCTTACTTTATGCCAGATAATTCTATTCACTTATTTCTGCTTTTGGAATTTCCTGTGTCAACCACTCTTCCCTTTTTAGTTGCACCTTAAATAATCTAGTCCTTGGTAAATGTGGCATTGCTTGAAAAAAATCCCGCCCTATAAATTGCAGATCTAATGTTATTTCATATGAAAACCTCAAATCACTTGTCTGACTTGTTGGGATGGATTGGAGTACTACCCTTCCGCCAATCCTGGTAGATTAGGGTTGCCAATTTTTTGGAACTACGACGATCAATCACACACAAATCGACTTCTGAGCATGTAAACCAATCAAACTTGCTTGTTTTCAATAACAGTGGCTGAATTAGTTGGTGGATGCTCATCTTGGGGTGCAGTTAGATAGGTCGGGCTTAATGAGATTGACAGCGATTGATGCTGTTAATAGATAGGGTCCAGTTGGGTTATTTGCTACTTTTTACATGTGAAAAGTAATGTACCTTTTTTATTTCGTATGTTAAATTTCCCACATTCTGAATGTGTACAAGTACACCCCCCTCCCCCCCAATCCCTTGTGTTTTTAATTGAGACAAGGTACCTATTAGGTAGCATCTTGGAATGTGTTAATTTTAAACAACTATTATTTGTTAAAAATCACACACTTTGTTGCTCAAAGTGAGGAGACGATGTGGTTAAGGATTTTTTGGTGAAGCCACGCTCTTTATAGAAGTTAGCGCTTCAAAGTTCAAACAATGGGGAACAAAGTGATTCCAGAGAGAGTCAGTTGCTCCGCTAAATCTCATCATTAGCTGCATATTATCTTACCATCTGAAATCTCTATTCAACCTTATTTGTATGTTTTGATTGCATTTTATCTTGTTGAATCTGTTTAGAGATACATATATTAACAAGTCTGTGTATGACTTTTTTGGCAGGAAGAGTGGTTGATGGACGGGAAATGGCTGTTCAATTCGCCAAATATGGGCCAAATGCAGAACGAATGTGAGTAACTGGTTCATTTGCAAGTATATTTTAAGTGTGTGCTTCAAATATTCTATTGTGCATATTCTACTGGAGCCTTGAATGAATTGCATGGTTCTGTCCTCTCTCTTTTTATTACTTTAAAGGACCTTTGTCTTCCTCTAGGATAATTCGACTTTACCCCTTGACGTCTTGTTTATGGACTCTCTTAAGTTTCTGATCTCATGCTTTGTTTGATCTCAGTCACCAAGGGAGGATCATTGAGAAAGTTCCTGGAATCAAGGGAAGCTCAAGAAGCAGAAGCCCTCGTAGAAGGTCGCCCTTTCCAACTGTACCTACCATGTTGTTCTTTGAACTTACTGTGTTTTTGTATAGATATTTGCGATGTTATTGATTTTCACCCGCTGATTGTCTTTTCAAACTATTTTGGACCTTGCCCTTTGTTTGCCTGTTTTGACTACTTTAGTTGATATGCCGGGTCTTATAGGATAGGACAATTACAAAATATAAGGTCAAAGTGTTACTAACTCAAGTGGATGGGCTTTGTCAGCATTAGCCAGCTACTTCTCTTTGCTTTTGTTTCTAATATATAATTCTCTTAATATAAGTATATAGGAAAAGACAAAAGTAAATGAGGCTAAAATTATATCCAGATGTTCAGTTACTTGCATGGGGAACGGGAAGACAACTATGCTTTAAGCAGGCACAATCTACTACATCATTTAGGTTGACTAGAATGCACAGGTCAATATGTGAGAGCGATAAATTGATGACTGGACAATTGGCACTATCTGGATCTGATTTAGTTTTTCAATGGACAGAGGAAGGACTGAAGTTGTTGGGGGGACCCTTCGGGGTGGCCCAGTGGTTTGGGCTTGGGACTTCCATGTTGGAGGTCTCAAGTTCGAAACCCCTTGCCAGCGAAAGCAAGGGGTTTGCCTTCTGGGTCGAGCTCGTCGCACTGGGCTTGCCTAGTGCGGGTTACCTCTCCTATGTGGTTTGCGATAGGAGCGGGGTTTTACCCTGTGCGCACCCAAAGGGTAGCGGCTGCGGGTTTCCCTTGTTATAAAAAAAAAGTTGTTGGGGGGGGGGGGTTATTAATACGTCTTTTCACAAACTGCATTTCGTAGTGACCTAGTGTTGGTTTGTGTTTAATTTATGTTTAGGTTTCCTAGTTATGGTATAACTCCTTACATAAACTGAATTTGCAGAAAGTGGTCATGCATCTGGTTAAATTGGAGTTGTCCAAGTGGGTCTGACATGTAGCAAGTTAATTTTATTACTATTAGACACAGTTATTATTCTAATTTCTTTGCTAATTTGTGGCTGTATTCTAAGGTTAGCTCATCTTTTCAACCCTTTGGTGGTTGAAGATCTCAGTGACGAGCAAGAGGAAGATAATGGAGGGGAAGATGAACCTTTCCTAGGAAAAAAACTAGGCAAAGAGAAAAGAGGAATAGATATTACTACATATGAGATTTTATGAAAATTCCTGAATTCAGGATATTGTGATTCTCTATCATTCTGAGTATGACAGTGCTTGACTTTTTTTTGAGAATGTTAACAGATAATCTATATATCCTCAGGTATTCTACATCAAAATATGTAGTCCCCCTTCAAAAGTATAATAGCTTACAGCTTGATCATCTATCTGTTGTTCCTATGACTAGTCTAAAGTGTCAAAATTATCTTCTGTTTGAGCTATTAATTTCTGTCCACGAAATGCATGTAGGGACAATATTCCATCTAAACAGTGCTTGGCTTCTGTTCCTTCCTCCCTGCTTTAGCATTCTTGGAAGTGTAATGCACTAATGTGTACTGTCAATTAGTTTTTGTGATAAAATTGACCACAAATTATATGAATAATTTGCATGTCTTAATAAGAAGTAGCAACAGCGGAAATAATCATACCAAGTATTTTATATTGGTGGTGTGCTGCAGTATTTTATTTTCAACAATTTTTATGAAATTAGCTTGAAGTAAAACCTTTTAAGATGTTCTTCTCCTGTTTGGTTATCACATGCATTTTTCCTCAAGCTGTTTCTAGCTCTATCTTCATTTGGTATCACCTATTCGGGGGGAAAAGGTGTCTAAGAGCTGAGGTGTTTCTGGCGGAGCAGATGCATAAAAGTCAATTGGACCATGTGGAAAGTAAGAAAGTCTAGATATAGAAGTCAAATAACATTTAAGATTCGACAGTTCACTCTGCTTATTTTTTCATTTGTATCTTTTTTACATCTTTAAACATATTTTTATTGTTCATAAGTTGTATAGTCCATGGAAAACTTCTATGAGAATGCTATTAGGTGATACTAATGTTGCTGTGTTATATGAATATAAAATACCTTACTTCGAGTAGTGAAGGAAACCATGTGATGCTCACAAAACACAATTTACTTGGTAGAAGGAAAAAAAACCATTTCTACACTTATCAAGTGCCTGACCTGCATATCTGGTGAAGCTAGAAGTGTGCTGATTGTTATTTCAAAATGCGAGCTGCATACTGTGTTGCTAAGATAACACACATGGAAAACTGTTTTAGGGAAAGCTTGTCTGTAGATTATGTCCAGATGGTCTCTTGGTTGCGGAAATAATCTTGGTCCAATAATGACCGACAGTTTTCTTCATTTAGTGTACATCTGGTGATTGATCTTGGGTTGATGAGTTGGTTTTCACCTTCAACAGATACCGTGATGACTATCATAGAGATAGAGAATACAGGAGAAGTAGGAGCAGAAGCGTTGATCGCTATGAGCGTGATAGATATCGGCAGAGAGAGCGGGACTATCGCCATCGGTCCAGGAGCCGCAGCTTAAGTCCAGACTATGATCGAGATCGTGGCAGGGGACGTGACAGAAAACATCATAGGCGGAGCCCATCAGTTGACAGGTTTTCACTTGATCTATTATATATGATGTGCATTGTCTTGTGTTTGCATTATATCAGGCAGTTATTGTGAAATTTATTGCAGTGCCTCCCCAGCTCGGCGTAGCCCCAGTCCTCACAGGAAAGAGTCTCCTCGTAGAAGCTTATCACCTACAAAAGGAAGTCCTGAGAGGCGTGTTCGCAATGAACGCTCTCCAACTCCTCGAAGTCGTTCCCCTCCAGGTCGAGAAATGGATTCACGAAGCCCTTCTCCTCGCGTTGATGAGGTGATAACATGAGCTTTGGTCTGATGGATCCTATTTTTCTGATTAAATCTATTTGTTAGGTCATTTATGCTCTTTTCCCCCTAAATTTTCAGGATTAATTTTCTGGTGGGCATAATATGAGAACAAGCAGACAAGTGGATCAACAACTTTAGCTTTCTTCTGAATGTGTTGAAACACAAAATGTGATGCAATTTCTAGGCAGAATATTTAGCTGACATTTTGGTAGGACTGGTCTCCTGGTGTTAAATGTTTCTGTACTCTATGTACTGCATGCCTTTGCTATCTTTAAGTTTTCAATGTTATGGTACTAGGTTGTGAACTTAAAATGAGTCGTGATACTGAAACTATATTGATGGATTCCTCATAGAACACTTTTTGCAGTATGCTTACAACTGTTGCCTCTCTATATTCCTTCGTACTGCTGCACTTCTCACTATAAGACAAAGTATGCTACGTATGGATGTACTAACTTTGTAACCAAACTCGTGCTGGGTTTTATAGTTATGATCGAGAGAAGGTTGGTGAGGTTGATAGCAGATGATGATGATGGTGATATGGCTGCCAACCCTCATAATTATAGTTAGTTCGTGAAATTTGAGGAGGCTGATTGGTAGATTATGTGTTGAATGACAATGCTGATGGTTGCTGCTGTTGATATGTAGCTTCTGATGCTGTTTGTAGTTAAAGTGTATTTGCAATGCATGAACAGCAGATGCTGGCTGGAGATTTTCTCTGTGCACCTGTGTATAATATATTGGGTAAGCCTTTTTCTCCGGTCAAGAGCTCACAAGTCTCATCATGTTTTCATCCATAGAAATGGAGCTCATCACATTCTTATATTAAATATAAAAATAAACTTCATCCAAGGATTAGTTTTCCCAAAGAATGTAACTTCTCTTTCTAGCTTGTGCTTTCCTTTTTTTTTTGGGTAGTCTTTTGCGAAGTTTGGTGCTTATAAATTGTCTCTAAAAAGGGATGGGATGCAACTGGTTATGCAGGATGGACAGAGGATGAATCTACCTCTGTGCCTGATGTTGCTAGTGAGGTGTCCCCATTGGCAAAGCTGATGCTAGTTGTCGTACGTGCTGGCCCCTTAGAAGGGTGAACATCTCATGTGGTCCTTTGCCCCCAAAGTGCATAACAGATGAGAATTATGATACCCTAACCAGCCAGATGATCATGTCTTCTTGTGATACTTTTGTTGATATTTTCTTGTTCGTGGATCCTGATTGTAGCTGAATGAAAGGCTTGTTCATTGTCCGTTCGAACATCCTTTTAGCTTCTGGGTGCCCCTGATCTTCCAGAACATCACTTGATCTGACGTTATCCTTTATGTAGCTGATGGTCTCCTTGGTGATTCAGCTTCAGTGCATTTTTTCGGTGTTTGTGTTTAGTGTTTTTAATCCCCATGGTTCTACCATCAAGGTTATTATAGATTCTGTTTTTAAACCTTAAAAACCAACGACCTTGTTGGTTGAATCCCCCAACTATCCCCTTTGGTCTAATAGGCTGTGGAGGTCTCTGGGATAGTTAATATAGATGAGGTTGGTACTACCTATTTGTATCGAAGGCTTAGTATATTACAGGATAAATCACAGGTGTCTTGTGCATCTCAATGTTTGTCTTATTAGTAATATACACAATAGGCACAGTGACTGGGCATTGCTCAAGGTAAAAGTTGTGGTTGACTTTTACAATTGTTTGTAGTGCTGTAAGATATTGGTCATGAGGATCAAGGAGTGGATTTTGTCTGCCGATTCTATGCAGCATCCATCTCTGTTAGTAGTGTTTACCATTGTGCAGTTTGACCGTGTTTAGCCATGCTTCTGTTTCCTGCAGTTAAATGTTTATTTGTGTGCACCTCGTTTTGTTCTATAATTTTAGGTTGATTTGACATCTGATAGACAATTGGTTGAATGGCGCTCATATTGGGCAAGGTATGAGTCCCTGGTTTTTGGAGAAAGCCATCTCCACGAGGAAAATGGTCTGTTGATTATGCATCTCTTTGGGGTCTCTGTGCTTTTCATTAAGTTCATCCAACTTTAATTGACCTTCCGACATGGTTTTCTGCCTTCCAATACTCGAATAAAGCAAATATTATATTTATATATCCTCAAGTAATATTTCTCGTTAGCTATTATCTTATGTTGGGCCTTACAGCTTAAATTTTGTGGAAATCAAATCGGATGATCACCTTTTGGACTGCTTGTTTGTGATATTTGGTGACCATTTGGAAAGTTGTGGAAAATGGCCACATTTCAATACAATTTGAATAAAAATACCATATAACACAAATGGAGCAAGTGAGATCTAACTAGTTTTCCTTGAGTTGGCATGCGGTGCTTGAATTTAACTTTAATAAGCTTTGAATTTTAACGTATTGCTCTCTTACTTCATGTAGTAGTAATTCTGGAGAAAATTTATTTTCGTGTTAAAAGTAAAGAATCTAAACATTAAATATTTCAGAACAGTGGAATACCATTTATCGGGGTCTCCAAATGACAGCTATTTGCCCATTGCCCCCTAAATTGTTTGGTACAGAATGTATAATGCACCAACTTGTATTTTAGTGTGATTTTCTTTATAATTGAATGAGAGTGTTAACGAATTTAGCGTTGAAGTGGAAGTAGTCGTCATCCTATTATGATATTTAGAAGGCCAGCAATTAGGCATCCTAGTTAACTTGTATTTTAGTGTGCTATTCTTTATAATTGAATGTTAACAGATTTAGCGTTGAAGTGGAAGTATTCGTCATCCTATCTATGATAATTTAGAAGGCCAGCAACTAGGCATCCTAATTCCTAGTTATAGACTTGCTGCAGAAGTCTGGGATTTGTCATTTCACTATTATGATATTCCCTTCGTCTCTATTTACTTGTTTAATATTTCCTAGTTTGAGGCGCTTTTTTACTTGTCATCTTTTCACAAGAAAAAACAATTTATTTATTTCTATTATACTATCAATTTGAGTTGATGTCTTTGAAAAATGTAGTGAGTAAATATATTTGGGAAATTATTAATTAATAAGGGTAAAATAGTGAATTCACTATACCAATCAACATATTTTTAATAAGTTGTGCCAAGTCAAAATTTGACAAGTAAAAAGGGATAGATGGTGTAATTTAGAAGGCCAGCAAGCATAAACTGTCTGTTAGCAAGAAAAAAGGGTAATTATGATATGATATGGATTGGTAGTGTAGAGACTTATCTTCAAGACCTAACGTTGCTCTTAACTGCAAAATTATTTACGAGCTGTATAAATTATTGTGAGAAGTTTTAAGGGCGATTGAGTATAAATTTGTCTAATGTTTTTGATGATTTGGATACTCTTCATCATGCTTTAATACTAATGGACTGCACCACATCAAAGATGTGAGATCCCAAAATTATACAGTTGTCGCATACTTTCTATTTGTGTCATTCAATATTTTGATCAAGGCGGATGGGTGACTCGTATTACTGTTTGTCACAATAATTCGGCTTTGATTTCCAAAATCCACAAGAGAGGATTTGGTAGAGGAGAAAATAACGAATTGAATATTATGTATGCTATCACAGTAAATTACATAATAACACGCCATTTATATTCTAAGAATTGATATTGAAGCCATAAATACGAATGAGGATCCTAAGACAGCCCTAATGACAGGATTGAATCTTCAAGCCATGATCTTCAGTTCACTTTTCTACGTGGCAGAGGTTCAAGTAAACGATATCCTAACACATATTTGGTTGTCAGTTGTGGTACTGCTATTAGTACCATTGAATGAAGAAAAAAAGCAGAAACATAAAAAGTTGGACACAGCAGAATTACTGAAATATCCTACTTTCTCGTACAGCATTAGGAACCAAAATCTTGTTTAATATACAACGAATTGGTACAAGATGACATGGTAATTACAATCATCATAGATCCTTCTTACTCATTCATCGGAAGAATGGGAGCCTTTGCCTCCAAGTGTCTGAATTATGGCCTCTAGAAGTTTGATTTCCTTATCTCGCTTGGATATCTCTTCTTGCTTTGCACGCAGCTCTTCCATGTGCAGCTCAAATACTCCTGCAACCACAGAGGAACACGTAAGTGCAAATCCATTTGATGAGTACATGGCTGGAAATGACAAGACCCAATTCTCTGATAATTCCAGATGACTGATTGTGTATTATAATGCTCACTCTTGTTTTACAACCAAACGAAACCAATTAGGTTTAAGACAGATAAGACATACTTGTGGTATTTTCAAGCTCTCTTGTAACCTCTTGTGCACGTAGTTCAGCAGCCTTCTGAGCTGCCTCAGCCTGTCTTTTCTCAGTCCGTGCATGAGCAGCAGCAGAAATAGCATTATCTAATTCTCGCTCTAAAGTCTCAACTCTTTGTTCAAGAACCTGTAGCCATAGAATAGTCATTACTTTAATAAATAGTGGCAGCAAGAATACAACAACATTTACGCCTTGTCCCAAACAAGATGAATTTTCAATGTTTCTCCATTTAAACTCATCTCAAGCTAATATTATATAAAATCAACACAATTGCTAAAAGTTCTTTTTTTTTGGTAGAAATTTTCCATTAGCATATATATCTCGGGTGGGCTAAGAGAATCCTACAAAGCATACAACCTAAAGTAACGGTACTAATATACCATAGCATATTTTCAACTAATTGGTATCACCTATATAATAATTTTCTTCCATACCCACTTGTGAGGACTATAGAGGGTATGGTGTATGTTGTTGCATTGTGCTCTATCTTTCTCTAAGTCTGCATGGATTTCAGGAGCTTGTAAATCCTTAAAGACAACTTCCCTTCACTTGATTTTAGGTTCGTATCGTCTCTTTTAATACCTCCACTCTCCATGTTTCACACCTATGAACAGATGCATCTAGAGGTTGACATAGGATATGACCAAACAGTCTCAAACGACTTTCTCTTATTTATCCTTGATGTGTGTTGCTGGCACTACCAAGCAAATGTGGACACTTTTAGTCGTATCTGATCTTATATTACCGCACACTCAT